CCCCAACCCCCATTCCCAAGACTCACTTGTCCGAACACGTTTGAACTTGCACCCAGTTTCCATATACATATAACGCCTGACGAGAATTTATCTAAAGTATACGTACATCCGCCGAACTAGTCTTCGGAAGAAGAGGATGCAAGTAAAATAAATTTGTTTATGTAGGGTAAAAGAAGGCTAGTTGATCACCGAAACTATTTTTTTGTTCCTCTGAAATTTCGTATGCCAACTGTAGTTCAACCTCATTGATAAAAACGGCAACAAAACGAACAGTTATGGATGCTAGGAACCAAGCAAATACCAGTAATGCTAGTCCAGATTTGACTAAACAGGGCCCTGAATGTCGGTGCTAGCTCGAGATTTCGATTGACCGAAATCTGATATCCGTTTCGTAATGTAAATGAAGTACATTATCAGGGAAGCTTAATCCAGATAATATCAATCGAAAGTAAAGAGGAAAAGTCACAAAAATAGAGTTCAGTGCAGGCAATGTGAGTGACGATCAACGACTAGTATCAGATTTTTTTAACTTGGTGTCTTTTCGTCGCTTTTTAACGGCAGTACTTCCCAGAGATGTCTGGAATATGTGTATGTAACAGGGCAAACTTGTCTGCCCTTTTTTAAACACTCAGTTGTCAACTGAAGAATGAATGGAGTTTAGACGCTGCGAGTTGAGCATCCTAGTCCACATACAGCCTTTATCCTTGATGCACCCTGCGACGGATGATTAGAGAAAAGACACATTTCCCCTACGCATGCCATTACCTGTCCGTCGCCACTCAAACTCAAATCAATTTGTTTCTCCTAGCAAACGGACAAGGTAAACGGGAAAATTCGAATTTGGATAACCCAGTTCACGTTCTTAACTGCGTGGAGCTCTGTTTGAAATCTGCCAAACAAAGTGCAACATGAGCGCAGAAGAGTGAGAAACAAAGAAGACTGGAATGATCACTTATGGCTAATTAGTTGTGATTTACAGCGTCGATGTTTTGGTATTCTGATTGGTTGCGGAAACACTATTCCCTACCATTGGCAGGGGCATCCCACAGATGACGTATAAAATGAGCTTTGCACAGCAGCGCGTCGTTAGCCTGTCTCCACATAAAACAGGACAGCCCACGAGTTGGAAATGGCCAGCATTTACCGCTTAGGGCTCCTCGTTCTTCTAGTGGCGGCCACTATTGCTGAGGAAGCTGCAAGGGAACGGGCAACTGCAACGAGGACACAGCAGCCAGACCTACTGGTGCAGGAACCCGAGGAAGGAGACGCTGTCTTCTCCAGCCTAGTGGAGGACAGAAACGCCACGGACGGTGATGATGACGCTATGGAGGAGGATCTTGCAGAATTCCTCGAACGTCCTCCTCACTTCTGGAAGCAGTACCGTGCCTTCTGGAAACACTCCCTAGCATTTGGGAAGCTCCATGCCTTCTGGAAAAGGGCTTTATTCGAGTAAATTAACGCCAGTCAGCTGTTCCTGCCCAGGACTCCTCCTCAGTACCTGGGACACTTTGCTTAAACCTTGTTGACTTTATGAATAAACATTAATGCTGTTTGGTGTTTGCTGCCATATATAAACTATGGAGTTTTCATTGCATTCTAGTGAATAATTTTATAACAGTGCATGTAACTGCTAGTAAACTTGGATAATGACTGTAGAAAATTAAGCTATGTAGTATTCTGCAAATTTAACTTGCTGTTGATTAATACAAAAGCCGAGAACAGCCGTATATAGCAAGCATACCTCAAGTTAACCTATTTCTTGACTAATATTTTTGCAAATGCTAGCCCTAGCAATACTGAAAAGGGTAAGATGATTAGATCCATAAGAGAAAGCTTGAAGGTTGATGGCGCTTTCGGTCTGTGAAACAGTGGACTCAGAAAAAGAACATGCAATCACCGGAACACGAATTTCATTTTCCTGACGTTTCGGATGCTGTTGAGAATTCTTAATCATAAGTTACCGTGTTATGGTGTGAGATATGCGTAGACTATATGTCAGTTATAGAAAGAATCCAAACAGAGCCTTAAAGAACTATCATGCAGACACTGCCACGGAGGTCTCATCTTATGCAACCCGTCAACATCAAGACTGCGTTACCGACAATAATCAGGGA